TAAAGGGATGTATCCTGCACTGGACTTCCACCTTTGTGCAGAATGCAGAATAATGGGAGCCACAATCTCTCTTCCACATGGCAGTGCTTAGCACACCTAATAGTCTGTTCCAGAGGGCTTGAATTGCTCTGGATCAAGTTTTTGACACATGGAGAAAGCTAAAGGGAGATGGGACGAAAATTCTACTTTTGCAGGATTCGCACAAATGGATGGATTACAAATTTAGTAATGTTTTCCTTTAAGCAGTTTCTTGATATTGGTTGATATATTAACCTTGCAGGTGACTACTTGCCCTCTATGATACCTTCTGAGACCTGGCAGTATACATTCCAGCTCAGCTTCCATATAGCTTTGAGCAAACCCTCCCCCCAGCATTCTGGCTTGTATCATCACAGGGTTTAAGAGGTAGAAAGCATTCAGAATTTGTTTATCTTCCTTTTTGTGCAGTCCTAACAAGAGTTGGTTTGACTTGTCCTCTACTTTGTCTATGAAAGATTCTGCACCATTGTCACCTTCCATAATGCTGCTGCCCAGTAGCTGCCATCCAGGAGTTTCTCCATCCCAGCCACCAACAATGCAACTACTCTTAAAACTGTTGAGGTTGGACAAGGAGCAAAAGAAACAAGTGAGAAAAATGTTAATTATCAGTGCAGTATGTATGCTGTTCCTAACCTTTTTTTGTAGCTGTGATGGTGTGATTTATGAGATCTGCAACTGCTTATAGTACTGTGTGAAATTTCTTTATATTGTTCGCAAAGCCTCAATGACTATGGGGACCACTGAAGTATGTCTCTTCTAGAGGCAAGATGTTTCGACTGTCAGGTCTCTGTACTTTGTTAGTTTTTCCAGTTCTTTATTTTCAATTCTGGCATCCCCTGGAATAGCAATGTCAATGATCCAGACCTTTCTTGTCTGGTGTGTTATGTTCAAGATATCTATCAGTTTGGATCTGGTAATCCCACAAGATCTTGACTTCCTCATTTTTTGACACCTTTTCTACCTGATGTTCCCATGGGTTTTTGGAGATGGCAAGTTATATTTTTTGCATAATGACCAGTACACTAACTTTGCCACTCTATCATGTCTAACTTTGCGATCTGGTTGTGCAAGCTGGATTTTGAAGGGGCAGAGGAACTAGAGACCAAATTGCTAACATGTGCTGGATTATGGAGAAAGCCACGCTCTGATTTCTTGGATCTCAGCTTTCATCACGTTGGTTTGGGGTGTTTGTTCTTGTACAGCAAGAATCGAGCCTTCGGTTTCTTTCTTAGTGGTACCCAGTTTTAGCCATGCCCATGTTGAATTATGATCATGCTTTCCATCAATATTTCTCAGGTGTTGTCCATGTAGTGGTTTATTTTTCCAGCTTTTACATTTATTTTCAGTTTGTTGTTTCTTATATTGGGCCTTTTTTCTGTTGTTTTCAAAATATTCTCCATTTTCACAGCCTTAAGTTATTTTTTATTGGCTTGTACTGATATAATCATTTAGACTTCTTTTTTCCTCCTCTACTACCTGCTGTATTTGCAGTAATCCATGACCTCGGATTTTTCCACATCACTTTTTGGGTGTATTGTGTGATGCGTGTTCATTTCTCTTTTTTTTCAATTTAATTCTTTTAATTAGTTTTGAATCTAAACTGTATTCCCACTGGGTATCTACAAATTACTGGAACTGCCCATGTGTTTATGACTTTTATTTTATTTCCACCATTTAATTTTGATTTTATGATTCTCCGCAGTCTTTTGATATATTCCCTTTCTCTCAGTTCTTTAGCTTTTGTGCTAAAGTTATCTACTTCTAGTATTCCAAGGTATTTATAGTCTTTATCACTTGATAGTGATTTTATAATAATGCCATTTTTAACTCTATTCCATCTAGTTTTTGAATCTTGCCATGGTGTATAGACAGAGCTGCACATTGTCAATTCCAAATTTCATTTGGATATCTTCACTAAATATTTGCACTGTGTTTAGCAGTGATTCTTAAATGAACAGTGAAAATAAATAGAGGAAAATAACAGAAAGGGAAAAACCAGAGATCTGTTCAAGAGAATTGGAGATATTAAAGGAACATTTTGTGCAAAGATTGACATGATAAAGGAAAAAAATGGCAGGGACCTAACAAAAGCAGGAGACATCAAGAAGAGGTGGCAAGAATACACAGAAGAATTATACCAGAAAGATCCAGATGTCCCAGACAACCCAGATAGTGTTGTTGCTGACCTTGAGCCAGACATCCTGGAGAGTGAAGTGGGCCTTAGAAAGCATGGCTAACAACAAGACCAGTGGAGGTGAGGGCATTCCAGCTGAACTATTTAAAATCTTAAAAGATGATGCTGTTAAGGTGCTACAATCAATATTCCAGTAAGTTTGGAAAATTCAGTAGCAGCCAGAGGACTGGAAAAGATCAGTCTGCATCCCAAACCCAAAGAAGGGCAGTGCAAAAGAACGCTCCAACTACCATACAATTGCACTCACTTCACACACTAGCAAGGTTATGCTCAAAATCCTCCAAGGTAGGCTTCAGCAGTATGTGGACCAAGAACTCCCGGAAGTACAAGCTGGATTTTGAAGGGGCAGAGGAACTAGAGACCAAATTGCTAACATGCGCTGGATTATGGAGAAAGCCAGAGAGTTCCAGAAAAATATCTACTTCTAGCTTGTTCTGAAATATGGTAGCCCAATCCAGTTTTATTTAAAAGTGTTGACATGGGGATTAGTGAGATGTTCAACAGCAGTGGGGACAAAGAATCACCCTGAAATATTCCTCTTTTGATGCTAATGTCTCCAGTTTCTTCACCATGGACCATTAAGACAGTTTCCCATTTTCCATGTTTTTCTTGAGGAATTCGATGATGATGTGGTATAGTGCTAAATTGGCTTGCCAATACGCTGGATTGTATCAGCACTGGATACAAGGCATTAAAAAAAGAAACTCTTTGCATCGGCTTCTGTTTCACCCTCTTCAGGGGAGTGGAAGATGGTTTCAATTTTCTAATAACCAGTTAGATAAGTGGTTCCCAGTTGTAGGTCCCCAAATATTATTTTTTCATATTCTGACATTGCAGTGCCAATACATGACACCACCACTTCTTGGAATGCTTAAAACCCAGTACTTACTTAGATAAGTACGGTAAACATGTTTTGCTGTCAATCACATGTTTAATGTTTTAGCACATTGCAGTTTTTCAGTTACTGTCATGTAGAGACAAAGAGAACCATTACAATAACCAGTACAAAAAAATAAAGGGGAAAAATAAAAAGGGGGATGGGGGACAAGATATCTATTTCAGAATGCCTAAGAAATCAAAGGGATGTTTAAACCTAGATTAGGAATGCTGAATGACCAATAAGGAAACACACTATCTGACCAGGAGAAAATAAAGAGAAGTGGAAACAATATACAGTACTGTACTGAACACCTATGTAGAAGAGATAAAAGGATGAAAGATTCCTTTTAAGAGGAATCCTATAATGAAAACCTGCAATTCTACAAAGTGAAGTGAAAGCGGCTCTAAAAGCACTATTAAAAAATAAATCATCAGGGGTAGATGGGAGTGCACCTTATCCCCATATCTGTTCAATCTGTACACAGAACAGATCATATGGGAAGGCAGGCTAGATTCAGATGAATGAGCAGTGAAAGCTGTTGGAAGAATCATCTGTAAATTGAAAAAAGCAGATGACACCATCTTCTTATTGGCAGAAAGCAACAATGATTTGAAATGACTTTTAGTAAAAGTGAAAGAAGAAAGTGTCAAAGCAGGACTGTAGTTGTACATTAGGAAGACAAAAATCCTGACTAGACAAGAATTACACAACATAATGTTGATAATGAAGAAACTGAAATTGATAAAGATTTTGTATACTTGACTTAATCCTCAATCCAGATGGAGTCTGCAGCAAAAAATCAGAAGAATGAGACCCGGAAGAGCAACAACGAAGGCACTGAAAATGTAAGGATATGTCACGGGAGATGAAAATCACAATCCTCCACACTACTGTATTCCTTATCACTATGTATAAGTGTTACAGCCGGACAGTAAAGAAAGCTGCCAGGAAAAATAATATTTGTTTGAAATATGATGTTGAAGGAGAATTATGTAGATACTGTCGTTGTTGTTTAGTTGTGTCCGATTCTTCGTGACCCCATGGACCAGAGCACGCCGGGCCCTCCTATCTTCCACTGCCTCCCAGAGCTGTAGATACTGTAGATTGCAAGAAAGGTCCTAGATAAAATCAAGGCCGAACTGTCTCTGGAGGCAAAAATGATGATCTGAAGCTGTTCTACTTTGGGTACATCATGAGAAGGTAAGATTCACTAGAAAAGACAATGATGCTGGGAAAAATTGAAGGCAGCAGGAAAAGAGGAAGACCAAATACGTGATGGATTAAGTCAAACTCTGCCGCCTTGAGTTTCCAAGAGCTGAGCACGGAAGTTGAGGACAGGGCATTTTGGCGATCACTCATTCCTAGGGTCGCTATAAATGTGAGGCGACTTGATGGCATGTAACAACAACATTGCATTAAATAAAGCCTCCTTCCAATGAAGTATGTATGTCTGAAGAAGTGGACTAGTCAATAAACGCTGCTATTAGAATACAGCAGTTATAGTCTTTAGGATGCCACAACTTTTATGTCTTGTTGATTTTAGCTTGGTATACCCCTCCCAAGCAGGCATATGTACCAACCAAATATTATTTTAAAAGCTTAGACAATAGCTCTGCCACAAAAAAAAACTGATAGAGCACCCCCCCCCCCCCTAAACGACTTTCGCTTAATAGAATAGCATAGGCGCACGTTCCTATTGGAATATATTGGGGGTGGTGGTGGTGGGGGTGGTGGAAGAGCGAGGAGAGTAGAGCATGCGCAAAGCAACTTCAATAGGCCCTGACTGGAAGGTGGGGGCGTGGTTAAGGAGGTGGGCACAGGCGGCTCAGATTCCAGGGGGTGGGCGTGGCCATACCATGTCTTCGTCGCTCTCTGGCTAAGGTGAGCGGTAGCTTCGCTCAAGCAACAGGTGCGCGGAGCCGGGACAGGTTTGTTCGGTGGGGAGGAGTGGCCCTCAGAAGGTCTAGGTAGGTATGGCGGGGGAGGGGAGTGGATTCCCCTATTCTTCTCGTTACGCACTTGTTTGTTGAGAAGCTCCCATGGAGCGTTAGAAAGCACGATCCCGTGTCTCTTCATTTCCAACGCACCTTCACCGTTTGTCGGGGGAATGGCCGTAGGAAGGCAGGGGCAGCCGATCGCGGAGAGGCGCTTTCTTTTCCTCGGAAGTGGTCCCGGTGGAGTTGGCAGGTGGAGGAGCGACCCTGTGATCT